ATGAGAAAGCTTCAGGGCTACTCAAATAAACACATTTTAATATCAAATGGATTTCTTTAATAGTAATCTCGTCGCACGTTTTTCTCCAGGTGCAGCAAGTACACGAGCGTCCCTCTCCAGTGCAGCCTCCACCAGGACCCCAACAACGCCTGCTGCCGCATCATGATCTGTGACCCCAATAAGGTGGTGGAGATTGCCTACGTCACAGACGCTCCCGTCACCCTGGCCCCGACCTCCGCACCCACAACGCAAGATCCCAACGGTCCTGTGGTGGTCCGCCCGGTGCCCACTGTGTCGTCAGGTGGAGTGATATACACGCTGCCCCCCACACAGAGGCCTTCTTTAGGTAACACAACTAGGCTAGTGGGTTGGCTGGGGTTTGGGAATGGGATTAAGAATGAAATTTAGTCCTTGACCATCAATGATTTATTTATAGAGGCACCAGCCATCCATGTCCAGGTGCTGTTTTAGCAGGAATGAAATTTAGTATGAGATTGAGAAATTGACATCTGTAACAAAAGAGAAAAAAAAAACGAAAAGAAAAAAAAATCATACTTCCTCCCACACAGACGCCTTCATAAAGTAACGAAACTGGTAGGTTGGCTGGGATTGGGAATGGGACTGAGGCTGGTGATGGAATTAAAAATGAAATTCAGAATGAGCTTGAGAAATTGGCATCTATTACAAAAGAAAACAAAAACCGAAAATAAAAATAAAATCATACTGCTTCCCACACAGAGGCCCCCTATCTCTTTCTGTCTCTTTTCTCTCCCTCTCTCTTTCCCAGCCTTTTCTCCCTCTCTCTTTCCCTGCCAAAGTATATCTTTGTTTCATTCAGAGATTTCCACTTTTGTCCCGTTTTTTGAAAGAGACAAAATGACTGTTCCCAGTTCTTAAAGAAATATTGTACGTTGATTAATCACCCCGATACTTTTTTCTTTCTCTTTTCTTACCTGTAGAATTCTGTGTGTACAACGGCGCCACGTATAGACAAGGTGACACCTTCAAGAGGAACTGTCAGCTGATGTGTAGATGTGATGACGCAAGGAACAACATCGTCAACTGTTTTGAAAGGTCAGTTCTGAGCTCATGGTATACCCCATCAGCTGTGGAAAGTTATTGACTACTTTGCCTCTGACATTACGTCGTTCAGGGCACTGTGAGAAAGTTGTTCTTATTGGCATTATCATAGTTTTCCCTCCATTCTTTTTCCTTCTTCTACTTCTCCTCTTCTTCCTCCTCTTCTGATACCTTTTTATGTCGTCCTCTTACACTCTTCACCATTGACGGCACTGTTTTCCCCTCTTCCCTTATCTTATCCTTTCCTATCCTCTCACTTATTACCATTGTCCTTCTCCTCCTCTTCCTCGTCATCATCATCATCATCATCATCATCATCATCATCATCATCATCATCATCATCAGTTCGCTTTTTCCTTTTCTTGCAACACATATAACTACAGCCTTACTGTGACACCAAAAGTGACCCTCGGATGCCGTGCACTAGGTTGAGCAGTTCGAAAGGGGGGCGGCACTGTTCTTTACTTATGCCTAATCCCTTTCACTCTGTCGTGCTAACCGGCGCTTCTGATGTAGGGCTTAGGGGCTTCGCTGTCGCACACAGGAGACCCCAGTTCCATTCCTGAGTGGAGAGGATTTTAATCAAGTATCTCTGTCGTTCTGCTCAGCTGGAATGTTGTATCCCTCTCAGTCCGTGTTGGTCTTGAAAGGCAGGATCGTAAGCCCAACTCCTAAATGACCTAAATTGTGTCGATTGAGGTATTAAACACTTCATCATCATTATAGCCTTTCTCACCCTGGATCAGGATAGAGGCCACGAACAAACACTTTCCACCTTTCCCTATCTTGGGCTAGTCGCTTGATGTCACTCCACGTCTTCCCACTTTTCTGTACATCCAATTAAACTCTTACTTAATAAAAAGAACAACTTTCTTACTGTTGCAGACGTGTGTGTATACAACGGGCGCCAGTACAAGCGGTCAGTTACCTGGAAGGACGGCTGTGGAGTGACCTGCACGTGCACGGACCCAGTCAACAACAAATACTCGTGCACCGACAAGTGAGTCTTATCTTGGGGTTTGTCATGCGAAAACGATGATTATGAGATAATTATGATATTTATTGGTATGGCTACTAGGTAATAAGTTTAGTTTAAGTGAGAGTTTTACGGCACTTGCAATACATGTGGGTCATAATATAACTACCGAAGATTAGAGGTGTTACTTGTTACTAGAGAGAAATGTACAATGATACGATAAGATAAGATAAGATAGAATAATCCTTATTGTCCAGACTTTGGCACTTTGGTTTGGTGTCTAACCACACTTACACACACTTACAAACACAGACATAGACATACATAAAGACAGACACACACACACACACATACGCACCCATGCATACTCACATTCCCTCTCACATACCCTCTCTACCACACACATATACACATGCACGCATAACATAAAACTGCTTACACTCACAAACAGACTCATAGTCACATATTATATAAATGAAGACTTCCGTGAGAGCAGCATAAATTATACACGACACACACGTCAAAACTATTTCAACACATTTTGTGTGGTTAAACACCGTTTCCGTAAACAAAATGATATAGCTTGAACTTAAATGTATCTTTTTGGTCGATTAAACATTTGTATATTTTCATCCTCATCCCAGGTGTAACAAGTTCGAGAAGGTTCCCGCCAACTGCGCTATCACCAAGGACGCGGATAACTGCTGTGACGTAGCCACGTGCTATGACCCGGCCTCCCTCCCCACCTTCCAGCCACCCGTCACAATTATCTCCGGAGTTACCATCAGCCCAGACGTGCAGCCAAGCAAATCGTCCAGTGAGTTCTTATAATAACAATGATAATAATAA